GCGACCAAAGTCAAAAAAATTGAATTTTTGGGCGTAAATTTCCGTGGGTCCCGTTTTTATTACGGAAATTTATGCCCGAAAAATTTCCTGATGCTATAAAAAAAATATAATAAACTAAGTATTCTTTATTATGTAAAAATATAGTAACTAATAAATGTTTATAATGTTCAAAATATATATAATAATTAATAAATATTTATAATGTTCAAAAATATAATATACAGTCTAACCTCTCTATAGTCACACCCTCGAGATACTAAAAATTGTGACTATATAGAAGTGTACCTATTATAGAGGTTTTCTTTATATAGTCACATCTATATTAAAATATATTTATAGTGACTATATAGAGAATTATTTATTTACAAATAAAGTGTAACATTGAATTTTTCTCCACACCATCATCTTTTCTAATTTGCAATACCAAAAATATGTTGTTATATTAGCAACAAGCAAAAAAAAGAAATATGTGAGTTAGCTAAAAAAAATCCATTATATAAATAACAAGAAATAGCAATTGAGTTTATGGAACGATATTCAGACCTGAAAATAGATTGTTCAACTGTATCAAAAATTTTAAAAAATACTGATAAGTATGAATTTTGTAACGATATGCATGTTGAAAAAACCTTTCGTCGTCGTTCTGTGAAGTATCCAATATTGGAACGTACTATGAATATATGAATAAATCAGGTCACAGCTGAAGGAATGATTATATCAGATTCAATAGTAAAAGAAAAAGGTCATCAATTTGCACAAGTTTTTACGATACCAGATGAATCAATTACATTTTCAAACAGATGGGCTACTAAATTTAAACAGCATAATAGATTAAAAAAAATTATAATGTATGGTGAAGAAGCAAGTGCACCATTAGAAAACTTATCTGAAGAATGGAAAAAATTACAAGAATTTCTCTCCAATTATAATTCAGAAGAAATATATAATGCTAACAAAACAAGTTTATTCTATTGATTACTTCTGAATCAAACACTTTCTACAAAATCAATGGCTAGAAAAAAAAAGGTAAGTTAAAAAAAAAAATAATAATTTAAAGAAAATTAATAATTTAAAAAAATTAATTAAATAAATAATTAAATTTTTTAGGAAAAAGTAAGAACAACTGTGTTACTTTGCTCAAATTCAACTGGCTCTCACAAACTTTGTCCATTAGTCATCGGTACTTCTAAAAAGCCACAATATTTTAATAAAATAAATATTTCTCAATTACCAGTAATATATAAAAATAACAAAAAAGCATGGATGAGAAGTGATATTTGAGAACAATGGTTACGTTATATAGATGACAGTTTTCATATCCAAGGTAGAAAGGTTTTACTTCTTGTCGATAATATGGCTTCTCACATGATCCTGAGAACAAATAATGTTTAAGATAATCAAGATAATAATATAAATAAGTGATCATCTGAAAATGAATTCATCAATGAAATTGAAGAACCACGAAGAAGATCACGAGGAAGACCACGAAAAAGGTCACTAGAAAGACCACAAGAAAGACAGCAAGAAAGACTGAGAGAAATTTCAGGCCTTTCAAACATTACCGTACATTTTCTTCTACCAAATATAACTGCTCATATTCAACCCATGGATGTCAGCATTATTTATAGCTTTAAATTAAAATATAAAAAGCTATATTGCTGATATTTAATTGATCAATTTGAAAAAAATCAAAATCAAGAGTAAGAATTTTTTTTATATATCGAATAATTCAGCTACTTAAATAGAAATAATGACAAAAAAAATAAATCTGTTACAGTATTACAATTTATATTTTTTTTAATTTTATTTTAATTTATTTTTTATTAAATATAGAAAACTTTCCTTGAGAAAAGCAATTGATTTTATTGC